TACATGAAAAATCATTTTCTCGCAAACCAAAAATTTACTAGTCCAAAATACTCGGGTTAATAATGCAGTAGTACACAATAATATACCGTTAAATTATTCTAATAAAGATTTTCTCCGAATAAATAAGTTTAATAACTAAATAATTGAATAAAATATTAACAAATGTACGTAAACTATATCCAGCAAATTATAGTACAATTGACGTACCACGATTTTCTAAACATCCTCATATTAGTATATTTAAAAAATATCCATCAATTCTTATTAATTATTATTATTATCGCAATTTTAAAATTGACAATTTACTCCTCAATATTTTTTATGAAAATATCGAGAAATCATAACTTAGTTTTTTATTTTTCCATATTAAACATCTTTAGCGAGTAAGTCTCAATTAAAATTTATTAAGATAAAGTTGACAATAATAAATCAAAAAACAAAGTTTTATTTTTCTTATATCTTTTAAAAGCTTAATTCGCGAAAATCTTGTTATTTCCAATGTGAAATATCTTTATCAGAAAAAAAGTCTACAAATTCTCATCCCGTGCTTCGTTGAATCCGTGACGTCCGGTGTCAAAAGAAAAATAGATTTCGCGATAGAACTCACAATCAATGACGTCATATGTACGATCACAGTTCAACGGTCACTGACCTTTGCCATCGCGCCGGTCACACCTGACGGCCATATACGGCACTCATTGTGTGCGTAACAAAATTCTAAACGCACAAAGCTTTCATTTGCGAATCGTTGAACCTGCACGGCAATGCCTTCATAATGCACGCGTAACGCTGCGAATAGTATTGCGCAGAATCGATGCGTCTGCCTCGAATAGATGTTGCACTCGATAATTTACGCGTGTTTATCCTTTGTACCCGTGTACTTTTATGTTTATAGAATGCGCGAGATCGCAGCATCATTTTTTAATAATAAATACCGTTTAAAAGAAAAGCATGTAATTAGCTTTCTTGTAAAAAAAAAGATTTAATAAAAGTTTCCGGCCAACAAGATAATTACAATTAAAAATAATACTATAGATAGAGAAATAAAAAAATAAGAAAATTATGTTAAATTTGTAAGTTTTTATAAGCTGAAAAGAGTACTATATTACATTAAATAATATTATCAAAATTTTGTAAATAACTTATTGTTAGTCAGCGCCTTATCCCTCCAAATTTTATCGAATCTTGTTTTTAACTGCAATAGTGTTTTTGATTTGCATAATCAGAAATAGTGAGTATAATAAGAATCAATTTTTATTAACACGTAAAGTATTTTTGACTTCTAATTTTATATTTACATTCAAATTCTAACTTTAGAATTTCGAGTTGAAAGGCAACCGTGATTTTCAATTGAAATATATTGAATAATTTCGTGGAGTTTGGTTTTTGCTGCGTTGGAATAAATTGGAATCGCATGGATCGAAAACGCTGCAAAAGATAACACTAGTCTCGTCCTTTTCAGTTAAAAAAAAAACATGATCACGCGGTAATCCTTGACCTTCTCGATAACATTTTGTTAACCGAGATTTTGCGTCGAGATCGTCAAAAAGCACGCAAACTATATCGATCGTCCATGCTCTTCATCTGTATAAGGCGAAAACGCCGCGCGTACATACACTAACTCTGTTTTCACGATGCATCATGCGTGCAAAAAAGATGCATTTTTTTATTATTATTTAATCCCTTGTTTTCTAATGTTATCGAAATTTCCATTCGTCTTTGAAAAAAATATAAATTCCTCTAATGTATATTTACACGTATCGAAATAAAAGCAATGAAATCTGTCGTGTAGTGATATATTTAAAATTAAATTAAATTTATATATATATGTATATTATGCATTTATATATAACTTCTCGTGATATTAAGGAAAAAGACGAGGCAAGAAATATTTTTTATGCCGATTCTTTTGAATTTCTTTAGAACTTTTATATATTATGTATATTTGTTAAGAATAGATGAAGAATAGATCTATGAAGAAATATATTTAAACAAACTTTTAATATGTTGTAAAGAATAGGGGGCAGAAAACAAGGAACGGAAGAGGTGACGACCGTACGTACGAGTGACGCGCATCGGCGCAACTTCGGTTACTCTCGCGTGCTACTCTTATGAAAATATACGGAAATGCGGACAAAAAATATACACACACACGATAGCTCGACGTGAACAACGCATTTGAATCGTGAGATGCGAGACGCGAAACGTTTTCGCTTTCATCGAGACAAAATTAGAACGCGCATGCCAATTCACGACGCTTGTCGCCTATATCACGAAGTTCGTCGTTATTAATAATAACGTATCAAAATTGAACAAAAATAGAATTGCGCGAGACACTTCCGCATCTATAGTTTTTAGCATTGGTATCGAAAATATCGCGTGTTAAACGGTGTCGCGAAAAAGATTGACACCCTTGATAAATCTAAATACAAAACACAAAAAGGACAACACAAAATGTTTTGGATTCGGCACTTACTTACTTGGCGGGAACGTGCCCTAGCTGGCCGGACGACGTAGAATCATCGCTGTCGACGTCGTCGACGTTCGTCTCGTCCGTAGGGGGATGCGCCGCGACATGACTCCCGTCGTCGCCGGTCCTCTTTGGGTTCGCGACGAGGCTGTACATAGGACGAATGCACACTCTCACAGGGACGCCAAGCGCCGTTCGCCGGTGGTCGACATCGCTGTTAACGCGCGCGAGGACGACGCGATGCGATCGACACTTTCACGCGTTTTCGCGATTCGCGCCGTGCAACCACGACGCGGAAACGTCCGCTGTTACCCCGCGGAGCGGGATCACGCTTTCCGCAATGCTTTCGTCCACTTCGAGTCCCGACACTTCCGACACAGCCGCACGCACATACACACTCAGCGCCATCCGACCAACGACTGATGTGCGTCGCGAGCTGCGCGAAATGGCAGATTCGCGACGGCGTCGCCATCTAGCGGCGTGCGTGGTAACTACGTAGGCGGCCGCGCTCAACAGATACGCGCCATCCGACCAACGACTGATGTGCGTCGCGAGCTGCGCGAAATGGCAGATTCGCGACGGCGTCGCCATCTAGCGGCGAGCGTGGTAACTACGATGCACTCGACAGATACAGTCACCTAAAAGAATGAAAAATAAAATTGACGAGAAAACACAGATTTGTTGTGATAAAGAAATTAAGAGGATGCCGAACTCTAAAGTAATTATATCTTAAGAAAAATACAAAATTATAGCTCCTTCACTGAAAATTTATTACTTGAAAGATCGTAAAAATAGAATAATATAGTTGTTATAAAAACAGAAAAAAATATGCCCATATATTTCCTTAAAATTTTTTATTATTTATTTACTATCTGTTATATTTATATTGTAATGCATGCTTACTATAAAATTTTGAAAGGTTGTTTTTATTTGTTACATGAAAAAATGCATACTCTCCATTGCGACAACAATATTTTAACGTAACTATACACAATATTTTAGTAGGAATAATCAATATCTGTCTACTGATGTTCATTCATCCAAGTTGACATAATCTTAACGAATAAAAGAGATCTCGCTTGCAGCGAGGTGCGCTATAAACACTCAACAGGATGTATACAAAGTGACATAATAAATTCTTGATGATCTTAATTTTAAGTGAAAATTCCTTCATTAACTGTAAATCGAATTAAAGCATTAAGACATCAATTCGAAAATAAACTATTTTTCACGTACTCTGCTTGCTCAAATTTGGATAAATTTTATCTTTTAAATTTTGATGCAAAGTTTAATTATTTAATATTGCATATCATAATATATTGCATCAAACAAAAAAAAAAACAAATCTCGTTTTAAAAAATGCACATAAATCTAACATGTCATTAAAATTAAGCATATAAATTTTAAGAAATCTATAAAATGACTCTGTAAAAAGAGTTTTCTGTTGTTGAAGAAAATATTCACCGTTCTAGTTGGAGCTGCGCCAGTAAATTGTTTTTTATATTAGTCTGCCGCTGACCTTGACTTTCTCGTGCAATGGCACCGACAGGTAAAACGAAGAAAAGGTAGTGACGCATGCACCTGTCTCCGATGACAGTGTTTAAAACCGAAAATAATAGTACAATTAACAACACGCAGCTGTACACTAATTAAATGAAACACAAGTAACTCAACCTTCAAAATAATTTTAAATTTTGAAAGCCAAAATATTACAGATTGTTCAAACAATATATTAATAAGTCAAGAATCGAGTTTCAATGCAAAAGTAAATCATAATTATTTAATGTAAAAGATAGTAATGTAAAAATCACATTATCAATTATCAGATATTTTGGCTTTCTGATTATTTATTATTTTATTGATTTCACAATAAAGGTAATATAATATGTAATATAAAAACACAGAATCAATAATTAAAAATACAGTTATTCTGTACAAATCTTTATTATATTGCATGGTCCATATAATTCTTCTATACATATATGATTATTATTTTCTTGGTCACGCTGTTTTTTGATTTGCAAAAATGTGTCTTCTATATCTACCTAGAAAACTGTGTAAAATATTCACACGCTTAAATAAATGTATGTATATGTATATGTGTGTAGATATATATAACGCCGCTAATATATACCTTCCCACTCTTTGTTCGTCACATTAAAATATATGTAAATAAGAGTATGAGTTGCATTATCTCTACGATTAAGCTCCGTTTGTGCAGATAGTGCCGCCGCATTTCATGATAATTAAATTAATTCCTGATTATTATTGCGCACGTAAAATATCGATGGATGTGACACGTTTATTAAACGCCGGTACTATTAAAAGCAGGTACAGATTTGTCGAGGTAGACATTTACGTTATATTTGTTTTGTATATTGATTGCAGTAATAGCAACACAACGAAGTGAATTAATGATAATATTGTTCGTCTATATATGTATATATAAAAGCTTCACACATACACACACATATACACACTTCCACTCTTAAATAATTTTTTAATGTGGAGAAGTGATCACTTTTTTTCTTAATTATTATAATTCCTTTTTTCAACATAACAAAAGAATAATTTTACACTAATAAAAACAACATTTTATGTATATACATATATGTAATTTCTGCTTTTAGAATATTTTAATATGTGCTTACTTAAAGCTGCTCATCTTCCTTTAATTACTATATTATAATACTGTGGTAATTACTACGAGGCATTTCTTATAGTGATTGCATGTAGTTTTCACACAATATAAATATTTTTTACAAATATTGAATTAATTTAGTAAAACAGTATCTCTGTATGTTGATAAATGAAATCGTGAATAAAATTAGATTATCAATATAATAATAGCAATGTATACATTTAAAGAGCTCTATTTTTTCTTTTAAGCCTAACTGTGTGTATCGAGACATGTTTTAATTATTAGTATAGAATATTTTAATGTAGAAACTTATTGTTTAGTTTTAATATATAAAATATTTTTAAAAATTTATTTGTTTGAAGAGGTTTACGTTTTATAAATATTCTGCTACGTGTATAGATACAAGTTTTCATAAAGCAATTCAACAGTCTTAGTAAGGCACTTTTAAAGCACTCGATATAGTTGTTACTTTTCTTTCTTCGGCTCGATATTCTTGCCCTCTTTCTCACTTTTCTCTTCGCTTTTCTCTTTATTAGTATCTTTTTTAGAGTTTTCTTCCTCCTCCTCCTCCTCCTCATCTAAAAGCTTAGAGTCTAGTTCATGCTTTTTCAGTTCCTCGTCCAATAAAGCGTCCCAATCGGACATATCTTTGCCTTCGCAAACTCTTTCCAACTCTTTCTTGAGCATGTCCAGACATTCCCGTCGTTCTTTCCATTTCTCCGACATTTCAAGACTTTTCTTCTCGTCGTCGATTTGGTCCAACATTTCCGCTCTTTCCTTCTCTTCACATTCTAACACATACTTTTCATAGCTGTCCACCTGAAAGAATGTGCCATTAGTTTACAATAATCAATAAATCTTTCATGAAATTCTTGTTAAATTAACTGGCTTTTTTCAAATACGATACAGAAAAACACTTAAAATCAAATAAACTTTAAATAATTTGTGAGTATGTATTGACTCTGAGAGAAACAAAAATAATTAAAATCGGATTAATAAATATTCAAGTTTACCTTATCTTGCAACATTCTTTGAACATCATTTTGCCTTTTTAAATGGTTCGGCAGCCAAAAGCAGGCTTGAATAAGACGCAGGAATATCCAGACCGCACCGGCAAGCGCCAAATAAGAGCAAGCGGTATACACCATGTCTGTCATGTCCACGGTTACTTGCTGATACTTCATAATGATAATTTATTCGATTCAAATATGTCTATAATAAACATAGTAATGATTAGAAAATTTACTTTTATTTAAAATGCTTTGGAATAATATGTGAATAATAATCTGGATCATAGAAAATGAGGTAAGTGATTTCATATAACGAAACAAGCGCTTCGAAAGAGTGCTTATGCTATTATTTATCAAAGTAAATTAAAGATATTAGATCATCTGTTTTTCTCTACATAAATAAATAAAAGCAATATTCCATTCATTCGTAATTTGAAAAATACTTTTATATTCCATGTTTTTTTATGTTTTTTGTTGAAAAGACTTGTTTGATTTTTGTTCGTTTTTATTACGACTCATTAATTGAGTTAACTCCCTTACAAAACGCGTCATTGATTCACCGATCAAATAACGCGTATAATATTTTTTTTTATATCTATCGTTTACTCTAGCATTGCATAAGTATACCATTCACGAGATAGTGCACTACGACAGTAGTTGCAGTAGTTGCAGTTCGACTCGGAGATAATTACGTGGTGATAGGTGACCTACTACGAATCTTGTCGTGTGCTTTAAACACCAAGAAAGATCGAAACGCGTATTTCTCGCGGTGAAATACTCAACGTATATGGGTTGATTCGCTTCGATAGGGTCGGGAAATAATTCCGCGACGGAAACGAAATATTTTCACCTAGATAACGGTAAAATGTGACATTTCGTAAACAGTGTGCAGATCGCAACGCGACATCCACTTATCGGTGCCTTCGCCGCGAACGACTGGTGTATCGATTATGTTCGTTCAGTGAAACAGAATGCGAATATAATATACACTATGAAGAAACTTGAAATTTCTAGGACTTTTATTGTACATAATATTAAATGACGAAAAAGAAGCATGAAGATAAACTTTGCGTGTTTTAAGTGTTTTTGTTGGATTTCTTACTGAAAGTTGTCTGTACAATTTATGTGGTTTCGATTGCATGAATTATGCGTGTATTCACATCAATATGTAATTATTTTATTTTAATTTACTTTACTCACCATAACGATAATGAATTCGATGTTTAATAATTACGGACGAATCTCGGACACGTTGTGTATTCAGAAATTATATGCACATAAAAAAGAAAATTTATTAAGAAATTCAAAACAAAGAATAATGTATGTGAGGAAAAGTGCTTGGGATATAAAATTTTACTGTTATTAAAATAGTTACAGAGATAGAATAAATTTTTTATGTGAAAGATTTACCTATAGTAATAGTGTCGCTTTAAATAATATCCAATAAAATAATGTAGGTCACACAAATTTGTCAAAAATATAAAATCAAAAAAAATATATGCAAAAACATTAACGTACCAGATTAATATAGCAATCACTTTTCTTTTAATTACAAAGTATTATATATACATATATGTATAATATAAACTATCATTAATATAAATTCTAAAATAAAGAAGTAAAAATCAAAAAAAAAAAATCATTTATCGATAAAAGTTACTGGTACTATACAATTTTTAAGGCTTAATAAACGTAACGTTATGTATAAAATCTTTCATTATAGTTTTTAGTTTTTCATTCGTCATTGTACAACTAATATGTACTTAATCTTTAAAGATCACATATGGATCATATAGGTCCTATCGATATTTTAACAATAGACTCTCCCGAAGGTCTTAATCAATAAAAAAAAAATTTTTAGAATTTATTTTTTAACTTTTGTCGTATATGATCATTTTCTACAAATGTTACGGAGTATATATAAATTTTTGTAGATTTTTTACTTTGAGACAGCTAAAACTGCGACAAGACATTGTGACCCACATGTGACCAGAAATAGAGCAAAAAATGTGTGACCTATGACTGTTAATAATTATAGACAATTAGATCTTCAAATACAAAAGCACATTTAAACATTTCAATTATTTTATTCACTTACCCTTTGCCTTACTCGAAGAGTGTCGACGAGAACATAGCCGTGTAAGAACGTGTTCTACCTAAGAGATACGAACTACTGAATGTATCACGTCCGGAAGTAGTAGCAACTACTATATGTCCGACTGACAGGTGGAACGTTGCTCCACTACTGACCCTCTATAGAAATAATCGATATATGGATGTAGATACGTATGATTGAGCTGACAATATACAAATATTTCAGTATATGTACACACGACATTCCGAGCGTGTGTGCGCATATTCGGTGAAGACAAATCCCACCTGTTATTTGTCTGACGAATAATTTGTCCATGAATTCTTATATAGTTATATGATAATGTTAAAATATATATAATCTCCTAATTTATCGATAGCCTCTTCGTTATAAATTGTATATTCGCATTTCATCAAACATTACGCGATATTTTTTATTTAGGCTCGAAACTAGAGGTGAATTGTACTGCTTTCCAGCATGTAATCGATTATTATCGGAAAAGACTCGAAAGGAATGACGGATGTTCGCAATAAACGACGTTTTAAAATATTCAAGCTACGTCGTAATGACGTCTATCGTGCACAGCGATAAGCGGATCGGGTCAGGTACCTCCATCTTGCGATATGGCCCGAAGACAAATATAAGTGCGTGTCAAGAATACATAATTTTTTATTATTTTACAATTAACTCAATAATAAAACGTTCCACGTCCCAACTAAAGCTAAAATAGTCTACACGCGGACACTCGCTCCATAATTCGTTATGTTGATATTTCATTACATGTATACATATCGATTTCTTGTATACCATTCGACCGCTGAAAACCTAACATAATATGTTTGGCGGACAATTTTATGTCTACAAAATTATACACGCATCTAAAACGCGTAATGCGGCGCGTATACAGGAAGAAGAATTCAGGTTTGGAATGTGTGATACATCACAGCACGGTTGTTAGAGAAGGCGAAGGGAGAAAAGGGGGAACAATGTGAGAAAAACGAGGCCCATTTTATCATCGTACTGCTCGCTGCTGCTTCGCTTGAAATTCTAAGCGGAGACATTTTGATACATTTCCGATGCGGGGGAAGACAAAGTATGCCGGCTTATGTTGTCGACCTTACGTAAAACAGGAGATAGGGAGTGGCGGAATTTCGCGGATTGGGTGCCAGTTTATCCTCGAGCTCTCGCAATGGGATCACGTGCACTGCTTCGTCGTCACACTCCAACCAGATGACGCCTTGCTTGTTGCGCTTGATACCGCAACAGTCCATGCTGCGACACCCGATTCTATTCACCAGTTGCTCCTTATTCTCGCTCGCGCTTGGTTTGCTCCTGAAGTATTTAAGTATACCTGATGCTTTGTCAGAGGAAGAGGAGGACGATGACGACGATGAATTCGCACTCCTAACGCTACCATGGCCCGAGTTCTGCCGCTTATTATCACGATCGCAGTGAAAGTACTCCGCATACGCGGATTCATCCGGTAGACGTGCGTAAGCGACGTAATGGCCGGCGGTCATCGTTGCACCCTGGTGCATTATGACCGAATACAATTTGTACACGTGCCGCGTCTCTGTTCCGCTACCAGCTGTCGTCTCGCGGGTCTGATCGGTGCTGCACTCTTCGCAAAAGCATTGCAAGGTAAGCGGTGTTGGCATGTGATTATTGATCTTCTCCATTGAACTGCAAACATATATTTGATTATAATAGGGATATCAAAGAAAACTTTTCAACATAAAATAAATATAGAGAGTCAAAAATATAATTACATCTTTAAAAAACAAATTAATATCTAAAAATTGTAATTTTATAATTACATTTAAATAAATTTCAAAAATATCCAAACAATTATTTCTCAATAAAGTTTTAATTATAACTTCGCGATACTAATTACATAGTTTCTATGTAACCTGTTTCTGTTAACCTTAATGATCCTAATCAAAAGATTACACAAAACTTACCCAGCAGCAGTGGAAAATCTCTTCAACTGCAAGATGAGAAGTCTCGGTAAGGAGGGAAAACACACAGCTCTACGAGCTTCATTATATCGTAGGCAACGTGCGCACCAATATTTCTCCGTACCCCAAAGCAATTCGCTAGTTACCACTGCGCGTTTGTACACTTCGCTGCTATTTACCGATCGACCGTCGTCATCTGCGAAGAATATAAAAGTATCTCTTTTTATATCACGTATTTTTATAAAATAAACAAGTTTCACATTTAATCGATTAAATACGCACCTTCCTCGTTCGAACGATCAATGTCGATGGGTACGCATATGTCGCAGAACGTTTCCTTGCGTTCTGTCACATGTTCGCACTCGAGACACGTTGTACGCAATAGGCTGACCCCCTCAAAGTCCTCTGAGATAAAGCACTTTTTGCTCTCTGGTTTGCGCGTCCCTATTTCGCCGTTACTCTCGGTAAATTCGGCATGACCGTTCTCATATAATCTTGCGGATGTCGCGACACCGTTTGCGTTTGGCTGTACAAGACATACCGAGCTTCCCCTACTCGGAAACTTCTTCTTTTTTCTTTTACGAATACTCCTCTTCCCGGAACCACTGCTTTCCGATTGCACATCCGTCGACGAGTGATCTGCGATGAAATCGGGAAAGCCGCCGTTGCTCTGACCAAATTGGCTTTCTCTGTGTCTGACCAATAGTTGGAAAGTTTCTCTGATGTTATCAAGTAAGCAAACCAAAAGCTCATGAGCATCCTGCTGTTGATTTCCTTCGAATATCGGATTTACCTCTCTATGACAATCGATGAAACAATATAAATATAAAATAAATTATTTTTACAATAACAAACTATATACCTAAGAGCTTGTAAAAAGGCATCCGGTTGGTATGGTTCACTACTCTCTTTTGCCTCTGATGCTCGCAATGCCATGAAGAGTTCGTGCAACTTTTCGGTGGCTATTTGAATATGTGGTTTATTGGCTTCCACTGTTGGTCCAGCCAGTGCCAATAAATCTTTACTGCTCCAGCTACGACTACTGCTCGATGTTAATGATACACCAGTTCTACCTAATGAGGAGGATTTGGCCTGCAAAGAAAAATATTAATAGCTCGAGATTTTAGTATATGTTTCATCTACATTGATATTCAGCAATTTGAAAATACAATAACTATAAAAAATTACAAAATTAAAATTGTGTCACATGCAGATACCATTAAACAAACAAATCTCCGAGACAACAAGCCAAAAAAAAAAAAAACAATTGCGTTTAACATAATTTACGGTACTGAACAAATGTTTTGTTATTGAATGACATTTTTTTCACAGAAATTATAATTGTCGTTATCATATTATAATTATTGTGATTTATTGTGTATTGAAAGTATTTCTTTTATTGAGAATTGCAAAGGTAAGCATGAGTGCTGCGAATAATCATAATTGATTATGTAAGCAGTGCGCAATATAATATATATATATATATATTAGGTACATTCAATTGAAACATAAACTGAGGCTTTTATGGAACAATGAACAATTTAGTTCACATTTTAGTTGAATGTACCTAATATATAACCCTTTCTTTATATGCACAAACTATTTATCTAGTACTTACTTTTGTTTGAAGTTGCTTATCATTTAGGTTGGACAAATCAGTGGCTAAATGATGTAAATTATGTAGGAAGGAAGGCGCAAATCGTAAAGTATATAATACACTATTAAGAAAGCAGGTATTTCCTAGATTACACAAGGTGGCTATCCTAAATCCTTCTGTACTACCACCGGTCATATCGTAACTTCCATCCTGGTGATTGCTCAGCTGATTTCGGTAGCCATTCAACATTTTGCTTGTACCTTTGCAGACAGAATCATATTGCATAATTAAGATATGTTACTGCTTGTCCATGCGATATGTAATAACGCGTTATTAAAAAGAAAACATGCATACTGAGTGAATAATTTGATGTATCCAGAAGGCCCCCTCTTGTAGATGTATGAGGGGGCTGCGAAACGACGATGGGAGTCGTACGTCTGCGACCCGACAGGGACAGGCAGAACTTCTTTCTGGGAGGAACCGAGCGTTTATCTGCGTCTTCCTCCGTTTCTAATACTGTCATCTTCTGTCAACCTAAAATATCACGAGATTATCATAAATTGTGTGATACAAACAGTGCGTTGACAGATGGACGTTGCGCGGGATTTCCCTGCGTTCAATTCGCTTATTCGCGTACGTAGGGAATCCTTATTAATATAATTTTTTTCATGCATTTCCTTGCGAGATTCGTTTACGTTTCACTGACTGTGTCAAACTGTGTCGCGGAATAAAATGCTGAATGCTGCATACATTTACTCACGTATGATCGAGTGGGGAAGTCATGGAACGAATGCGGGTTCTTTTATTATATCGTTATTAAATCGAACTAATTCCTACGTTAAAAAGCCACGAAAGAGCTTGCTCGACTCGTTGCAAGCTACATTTCTACCAGCTTTCCGTTTGACGGATTATTCTTGGTTGACTTATGCCGCTTGCTCCACTTGCTCGCTCACTTACTCCGAATTACACGACACAGCCCGGAGTCGAGGAGCTCTCAGGGAAACTCACGCATGCCGCGAGCCGCGATCGACAATGCAGAGAATAGAGAAAAATCTGAGAGACGTCACGGCCCGATTTCAAGTGATCCCTGTAAATGGTACGACCTCTATGGACATAGAAACGTGGACATTAAACTACATAGCCAATGTCCACGAATTAAATGTGCACAATTTCGATTGCATCCTGTCTCTCAGGCTTCTCTCTGATATTAGTGCTCCTAGTAGACACACGGAAACAACCATAATTCTTTCAAAACCTTAGAAATTCTCTATTCATAGCCAATCAGGATGTCTGACAAAGCACGAGTTTATCAACTAGACATTACGTGGTCTATGGTTTACGCGTGCGTATGTATGTACCATCGACTTAAAAATATATAGATATACCATTAGTTGCCGATACGAACAAAGAGAATCTTGATTTCTGCGATTTCAGAGACGTGATTCTTGAACTATCCTTCGTAAAAAAAACTTTAGTCAATGCGGCATACAAAAATGGTAGAAACAATGAAGGCGCATGCGCGGGAAAAATTCTATAATCTAGAAATTCGTCGCGAGCCAATCGGCATCGGAAAATTCATAGTTTCCGTTCTCGCCGCTAGCGCCCGAGTACTTCCGGTACGGTACGCCAAATTTGTATGCCCATCTGAGTCTCAATGACGCCTCCGTATGTTGCTAGTTCCTCTGCGTGCTGCATTTGCTGACACAGTGCCGCTACGATCACTACATAACAGAAGTAAAAGTAATTCGCGCACATAAGATTATACATGCAACGCTTCGAACTGTTTTTATAATTGATATCACGACCGTGGACTCTGTGTTCTTGGAGTTTGCTCGCGCGTGAGGCGTTCCACTCTTGGCAAACCTCGTTTACCGCGTTCGTTCGTCGGCTTCCCGCGCGACAAAAGCAACCGCTGCCGGGTCGCGTCGAGGTGCCAGAGCTGCGTTCTCGTGCTGCAAACACGAAAGCGTTTCAAGTCAGGTAAAGGCGCGTTAATATTATCATTATAATCGCCATCGTTTATCGTTCCTATCCCTCGAGAACCTATCACACGCACGCACGTTCGTTCTCGTGGCGCTCGGCCGTCCCAAGAAACACTCGAGCGCGAGAGGAACACTGATCAGATCACGTTGTCGAATCGTGACTCCGACTTGAACGAGACGTGTTCCGCTACCAGGAGAATCTCCGAGGTGTTGTCGATGATCCCGGTTTCGACTCGTCCGTCCAATGCCGCATTTCTCGTTCGCGTTGGCGTTGACTTGTCGCGGCCCATCGGGAAATATCGCCATGCTTGCGCGAGCGACCGGGCGCGACCGCGCACTCTCGCATCCACGAGATGGAAGCGAGAGCGACGCGATCTCGTTCGTCTCTTCTTCTAAAAGCTGCTCTTTCCAGTCCCCAGCTTTCTTTGTTTCGTCTCGTCTCGTCTCGTCTTCGTGTCGCGGATGCAAACACTGAAAAGCGAATTTGCTAGAGGTAAATTGGGGGGAGAAGAAGAAAGAGAGAGAGAGAGAGAGAGAGACACGTGCTACGGAATATGTACATTAGTTGCAGCGTGGTTGGGATTTTTAAGTAGAGAGAGAGAGATAAGAAACAGAACTTGTGGGTGGGGGGAGAGGAGAGAAGAAAAGAAAGAAGATGGCATGCGAAAATTTTGCCGTGCGCCAGTCCCTTTGTGTTTGCCGCATGCTGTATCGCTCCGATTATCTGCGTGCATACGTGATAAAACGGATTTTGGATAAGATTTTCTGGCGCGCGCAACAATTTAGATAGCCTAAGGATATCCGCAGACATTTTATATGTAAAAAACTATGTAAATCTCAAATATGGACATTTCAGATTATGTTTTTTGTTTAAAAATTGCTGCAATTCTTTTTTTTATCATAATAATGCATATTTATTACATTACAATGGTATGAGCAGTTTAATAAAATCAACCTGTTTTTTAAAACCTAGATTGCATTAAGTAATGATCGAAATATTAATGAATAAAAAAAACTTAAATAATGAGTAATATATATGAATTGCACAAATTTGTATATTTTTTCAAATAAAATGTTATCAAGATGATTGAAACTGATGCATACTTTCTTTTGTATATATTTATAATATCTATTTATATTAAAAAGTTATTTTCATATATGATTGTGTATATGATTAAAAATAATGCTGAAGAAATTTTATGTGAGCATTTTATTCTCTGAAATTGGTATATGTATAATTAACATAATAAGTTGATATTTTAATGTTAATTGTTCTAATAAAAACAATACATACACATGAAAAAGAAATTATATTCATATATGTTATAGCTTGTGTGCTCAACTTTATATTATAATTTTGGTATTGGATAATTGACAATAATATATAATTTTTAATATGTATTAACAAAGTTTCATGAATTTTATCTTAGAATATTATTTTGCTACATAAAGAACTTCTTTGCATTATATGTATATATATATAAAATATATAAATTCTATTAATATGTCCTATTCATAATTGTAATAATTTTTTAAATTCTTGAATATTATATTAACTTGACGTTATGACATTCTAATAAATACATTTTTGTTTGTTTCAGATATCTGCCTTAATAATTTTAAGATTTTACAACTAAACATTTAATTTGCTGTTTCCAGCAAAATATCACTTTAAAAGTTAGAAAGTAAGAAAATGGTCATGGAGGCATCTCCTTCTCCACAGAGTGTAGGTCGTGAATTTGTCCGACAATATTACACTTTGCTGAATCAAGCTCCTGCCCATCTTCATAGGTACTTGAATTATCTATAATTTTTTTTCCAGATTTATCTGTTATAGATTTCTTATCACAATTGAAGCAACATAAAATTAATTTGAATTTTATTCAAGCCAAAAAATTTTTTAATTTAATGATTATTTCAAGTGCACAACTACAATTTTCATGAATTTTATAATTAGGTTCTACAATCAACATTCTTCCTTTGTGCATGGCGGATTGGATTCCAATCGAGAATGTATTCCGGCAATTGGTCAAAAACAGATACATCAGAAAATTCAACAACTGAACTTTCGCGATTGTCACGCCAAAATAAGTCAAGTCGATTCTCAGCTCACTCTCGAAAATGGAGTTGTTGTCCAGGTAAACTCTCTATGTCAACTTTATATAAATTAGATCAGAAGTAGAAAAGAATTACACGGTTGTATTTTATTTCTCTTATCAAGACTGTTTAAATATATACATATAATATATTAAATGTTTCATTTTTATATTACCATCTAATATTAAAGTTTCATTACTCTGCATTATAAATGTGATAATTGCATTTTGCTTCAATTTACTTAGAATAACATTTTCGTGAGGTAAAATAATTTTTAGAACCTGCAATTTTAAGAGCATCTCAATGTGATTATTATTATATATTTATCTCATTATGTAGGTATCCGGAGAATTGTCCAACGCCGGGCAACCAATGCGTCGGTTCACGCAAACCTTCGTGTTGGCGGTGCAAGCACCTAAAACTTACTATGTGCACAACGATATCTTCCGCTACCAAGACTTGATATTCCCCGAGGAGGATGAGGCTGATGTGAGCGGCGGAGACGTTGGTGAAAGCGGCGAAAGAGAGGTTGAGGAAATTGGTCGATCCGAACCTGAAGAAGATGAACATCAGACTCAGGCGCAACAGTTATCGGCTCCCGCTCAAGCGGCTGAGCAGCAAGCTCAACCGTCTCTCATTCCGGCACAGCAGCCTCCGCTTCAGCAACAACAGCCGATGTATTACGCTGCACCTCCACAGCCACATGTTAGTATAAAAAACATTATTATTATTGTACAAAAGTTAAAAATTATTTAAAGATGCAGTAAACATTCTGTATAATGCACAATAATTATTGAGGGAAAGGAGGAAAGGGCAAAAACAAAATCTAGAAATTATACGTTGTTGAATTTATTTTCAAATTATACATTGGATAATTTGAAAATAAATTGATTTTGCACATTGCGTAATTTCTACAGTTTACCATAGGTTATAATATAGTTCTATTTGCAAACGTCCATTGTTCAGGTTCATCCGGTAATGCAGCAAGTTCTGAATGGAACAGTGCACGAAGAGGTGATCAATCAGCAGCCACCCCAGCAGCAACAACAACCACCACCACCTCCTCCTGCTCAGCAGCATCCGTACATAACTGAACCAACTACACAGACCCAATTTGTGCAGGAGGCAGAATTGAGCAATGGTGAGCAGCAGCAGCAGCAAAACCAACAAATTGAAAGTGAACCGCAGACTCAGACGGAGGAAAGGAATGACCAGCCTGAAGCAGAAGCGTTTACTGCGTCTGCACAAGAGGTTGAACCCGAGCATCAGGTTTCGAATACTACTGTCAACAATAGTGGACCCAAGACATATGCTAACTTAGTAAAGTCTTTCCCAAGCACTACCAGTGCTACTAGCCCTCAAGCTCCTAAACTGTCCATGTCTCCGGTAAGTGTTGTTTCAATATGATGTTGCGATTTCTGAAGAGTATGATGAATAATAAACTTTTCTTTGTAGCCACCTATGACGAATTTACGCTTGGATGACAGATCGCCGTTGCATCCTACAAATAACGTACCGACTTCTATATCTGTTTCCAACAACGTATCCGTGGTTCAACAACAGGCGCATCGAGTGGGCGGAAATCAACAGCCACCGCAACAACAACATCCCCAGCAGCAACGTGGTCTGAGAGGAGGACTAGTACAAAGAGGTAAAAAGAAATGCGAAATAATATTGGCAACTTAAAACATGATATTAATTACTTAATTTTCACTTTTTTTCTTGCAAGATACTATTTCTATTTTATATTGTTATGTATGATAATATTTTTTAGATGGAGAACGTCGTGGTACAAGACCAGGACAATACAGTGACGCTCATCAACTTTTCCTGGGTAATTTACCACACAACGCTTCCGAGAATGATTTGCGCCAAGTATTCGAGCGTTATGGTAGAGTCGCTGAATTGCGCGTGCACAGTAAATCAAATGACAGATGCAAGGGTCCTCAAGGCGGAAACAACACTGCGCGAGTGCCTAATTATGGATTTATCACGTTCGAAGATCAACAAGTTGTGACAAAAGTGTTGAACTCTTTGGTACGTTCGTCTCTTAGACAGACATCGACAACGCCTTAAGCAAGTGTTTAATAAAAATGGATCTTTTTGATCTTATCGTACGATTGTTGTTTTAGCCTATCTATTATCCTGATGAAAGTGGACAAAAGTTGAATGTGGAGGAAAAGAAGGTGAGGCCTAGGATGATGGACGGAAGCGGCGGAAGATTGAATTCTGGCGATGGCGGTATGCGTTCCATGGGCGGCCAGCAGCAGCAGCAACAACAACAGCAACGTGGACCAGGTAATCTCTAAATTAATTTTCCAATTTATTGAGATTAGTAGAACTTTTAACTTACTAATCCGTTATTGATTTAATATTAGGCGGACCCGGAGGCGTAATGAGAGGTGGACAACACGGCGCGCGAGGTGGTCGTGGAGGGTTTTCACGGGGTGGCGATGGCGGTAGGGGCGGCGGTGGCATGCGACAACCGGGCAATCCAAGCAATGCCGGTTACCAGAACCGTCGCTAATACCGGCAACAGTCGCAACAACCTCCTAATTTCCTCTCTATTGAGTAAAAGTCACATCAGTACCATCATGCATCTGCCATCTTCATTTCGAGAAATGGAATCCAAGACTATTTCGTATGCCGCACGATCTTATCACCGGCGCCACCCTCATACGCTTAAACGTCGCTTGCAACAATGTTCGACAAGCAACAACAACAGCCGATACTAGATGACGTAGCTCAAAAAAGGAGTCGTACGAAACACGATCTCGAACATCAGAAGACACGATTTCTGACGTCAAAATCTCAGATGAGGGTTACGTTCTTTTTGCGTGAGACCTCGAGCTCAGTGGTATGTGTTGTAAGTTTAAAGAGCCGATCATCATCGGTTCGAGTTCGTCCTTCGTACATCGACAATCGGGCAATTCCGCAGGACTTGGCGACGCCAAACATACAAATGGAGCGCAAACGTAGACACGTGCAGCCGTGCAACAAGTCCAAAGGAAGTTTAACGGAGAACGTTCTCGGAGTGTGGGAAATTTAAATAAACGGGAAGAGGCGACGGGACGTGATCTGAAATCGGGAAATAGTGTCGGAACTCTTTTTTTGTGAGGTTTTAGAATATTGCGCGGCATTTGTCATTTTGCGCGTTTTCTTCTCACCGAATTGCAAGACAAAACAACAGCAAAACAAAGTTCGCTGCACGCATCATGTATCTACGGGGCAATCAAATGAGATTGCATCGGAAAAAATGGCAACGGAGTGTCGCTGTGGCGTAGTCTTGTACGCTTTCGAGTCGACTCGACAACCGTCAACGAAATCGTCCCGTTGCCGCAGGCGAAGAATTTGTATAGATAACGCAGAACGAATTCCGTTATACGAAAATTCCGACTACACAAAATCCTAAAGTTGTATCCCGGTTGCACGCGGCAAAAAAAGGAAAAAGAAAAGCTTAATTTCTTTTTTCCTACACGTTCTATTTTCTATTCTTGTTGCCGATCATCGATCGACCGGTATCGATCGCAAAGAGGACGATGCTTCTAGACTGCAGCAGCTGGTCTCGCCATTTTCCCGCAATGCTGGCTTCGTCTTGTTGCAGTCCAGAACTTTTTATTCAAGCCTATCTTTTTCCTGTCTCTCCCTTTTCCTTCCACTCTTTTCCCGGTTTTCTTCTAGGAACAACTATTTCTCCCAATATCTTTCTACGCTACGATTCTGTTCCCTTTTATAGAATCTTTCTATTCTAGCATCTACCTCCCTTTCCTTCACATATATACTTATTATTACTTTTGTTTAAGTAAAATTAGTAAGAATCGCGCACGAGCATGATCTGACGTTGTATCGCTAAATTTTCGATCGCGATGTAGCATTTCGGCCAGGGTCAAGTTTTCTAGTTTATCGCAGAATTGCGATGCGCCGAACATTGAACGAACTGCAATCAGCAAAAAATATATTCGACACAGCGAAGAAAAACTATATATAGTTTACGCACAATAGCTTTTTCTTAACTCAACCATTTATTAAAATCCTCCGCGAGTTTATCATCGATAATAATTAGAATATATCGTATTTCGAGAAAGATACTATTTATACAATTGCATATATATTCGTTTAATTGAATTATGGGATTTTTGCTTAATTACATCGCAATTTCTATTAGAGCACTTTATTGTACTGTGAATTTTCAGAAAAAAATATACAAAATGCAATATTGAACCTAATTGTAAAGTCAGAAATATTGTCGATGAAAATAGTGTGTAGTTTATATAGATTTATATCTATGTAAAATCGTCACACATTTTATGCTACTGTTGTTATAGAAGTCGCAATTGTTATTATGTGTAAAAGTCTCATAATTCAATTAGATGAATACATACACAATTGTACAAGCAGCATCTTCCTTGGAATACATGTTTTAATTTTTCTTTAGCTAATATAATCTATTCATATTTCTCGATGCAATACGTTTATATACGTTAAATTATTTAGAATACGAAGCAAAGTGCGCGAGATTTCTAGTCAGCAACAGTTTATATGCAGTATGCGAAAGGAATTCTGCGATTATTAGTGACTGGGCAATGCCTCTATTCTGGCCTATCAGCTTCACTACCTCTACGAAACTAACGTATGATTTTTAAAGTCGAAAATATCGAGCAATCGGAATCGTGAGAAAATCGAGGCGATACAACAATGTATATGTAAAAGATCGACGCGTCGGAAGATGAGGAATAGAACAGCGTTGCAATCAATAACTAAATTTATGATGTCGACAAAAAGCATGTCGTGAGAGAAAGTGAGAATTTGTGTCTGTGCGCATGTGTGTGTGAGAGAGAGAGAGAAAGAAAGAAAGAAAGAAAGTTTGTCAGCTTGCATTTCGTCGAGATTATCATGGAGATTTTTAACGTTGATCATGCACGAACGTGATTCCACAACCGCAGTAGTTTGTAATCGAAAATAAAAAGAAAATGCGTTGCGATACCTCGTGTCTGGGACATGACCGCGTTCCCGCAATTCCTCGGCGCGCCTGCCCGGGGTCCTATCCTAATCCGTTTAATCCCATACAGCGCAGAACTATCGACAAAAATCTGGAAATACGTTTCCGCATTACTAATCTAACTTAGAAAGGATTTGGATGGATCGAATCTTCATTATGTTTTCTATGTAGCATTTAATATCTAGAATGGAATATACGTAGATATAAGTTTAAAATTGAAACTCATTACATATTCAACGAGGACGCACGAGGAAAAGATGCTTGGCGGCAATTTTTATTCTTTTTTTTTTGTTTTTGTTTTTGCTAATTATCGAGAATAGTAACATTGCCGCAATATTGCGACAATGTTCTGTGCTGTATGGGATGTTACATTTTTTTAACATGCAACCTCTCTAGTGAGTAATATTCATCACGTAGTACGCGCGATATTGATGTTTCGTTTAACAGAGCCCGGGACGGCGACGACAACGATGACGACACGGCTGTTCTGATCCAGACGCGAACAAAGAGATAGGTTCCGCGTGGATACACTTCTGCGGTTTGCTATTTTCGATAATTAGCGAAAACAAAAAAAGAACAAAATTGCCGCCAAGTGTCCTTTCCTCTTTCATGCATCCTCATTGGATATGTAACACGTTTTAATTTTAAACCTATTTCTATATTCCGTTATAGATATTAAACGCTATAGAAAACATAATGAAGATTGAATCCATCAAATCCTTTGTAAGATATTTAGTAACGCAGAAACGTATTTCCGGAATTTTGTCGATAGTTATCACGTAATTGGCACTTTAGTATTGTTATAAAGAAAAGAAAAATTTATTATTAAATCTAAAACAAAAATACAGGATGTGAAGCACTTTATCACTTCTTTCTTCCTTGCGGCAAAAAAAATATATTGCGTGTGTTTTATGCGATTCTGAAAGAGGATCTCGAAATGCAGAGGAATAGATTTTTTCGTATCGCTTTCATTTTCAAAGATATGATAAACGCTTATCATATGTGATTAGCAATTCATTATACCTATATAGAATTCTTACAAGAATTAAGGTATAGCATAACACACAAAAAATATTAATTTAAATAATACATCTTTTACATATTGTGTGTTTGTACATCAATTATAATTAGCTTTTATTTCAAATGTCATTAAAATGTGAATTTAATTAAAATATTAAGAACCATCCTTTTTTCGAGATCATCCTATTCCGTAGCCTATACATCTTCGAAAATAAAAAAATAAGATATTTATAACATTTACACATATGACATCTTCTTATGAAACCATATAAAAACATACCAAATGGAACACGTTGCTACCGCACACGTTGTTACCTTGCTATAAACTCGTTTAGTATTTTGACTGAAGTTACACCCGTAATTCCTTGGAAATCATGGACATTAGCGGATATAATTTAGATTAAGAGAGAGAAGAGAATCTTACTTTTCGCTTATTCATAATATGAGCGGTAAATACAAATGCAAATTAAAACGGAAAGTAAAATGATATATGATATGCTTCCTGTGCCAATTCCCAAGGAAATACAATTAATATCAAAACAGTGTTAAAAGAATAAATACGAATGTGGCGTGCTGATTATTAAATGCGGAAAGTGCTTGGTTAATGCAAAATTTTTGCAAAAGAGTAAATTGCACTTTATTGATTTAGACAAAATCCACGTACAATACTGCAGTGGTAAAATATTTCCCCTTTACCGTATGCGAGAGATGATGCAGTATACGCGCCATTAGAAGAAGAGAGTTCAAACAAAACGCCAGTTGTTCTTTGACTTTGTATACATATGTAGAGCATATTTAAAGGGATATTTGTATGAATGAGAAAAAAATCGTCTCTAATTCTATATATCTTGTACATTAAAGGTCACTGGAAATAGACGATATCTCCAGAATCATTTTTATTCCAACTTAAGAGACCGGTTTATATATATAGTATTTCAGTCAGCACAATTGCGCAATTGACGTATTCAAAGAGAAAAAAATATGAAAGAGAGAGAAAAAAAATATTTTACGCTGGACGAATATAATATAGTAGTTGTTTAATATTTGCAATCGCAGATTATGACTTCCGAAATTTTTGCCCGCCACTTACTATAAAATATTCTACGCGTCTATTCTCACACCGTTTGACTTCATATTACGTCCTCTCGTCCATGTGCATATCCGTGTGTTCAAGTACAACGTGTTCAAAGCCGTAGTTCACGCGAAATCATCGCTTTACATATTTCAAAGAGAGTTCTGCAAATTTTTAGTGTGAATATGTTTTCGTTTTTAAGTAACTATATTATAATATTAATAATAAAGATAAATATATATATATATATATAATAATGAAATCGAAGGAAAGAATATGCAGAAAAAATATACAAAATAATTATAATAATGTAATTATAATAATTAGAAGACGGCGGTTAATAAGTTATGAATTTTGTAGCATACATTTTTATTTCGGTCTGCCAGGCCAGTTTGCGTGTACCAGCCAATTGAAAACAACGTTACTGCGATAGAGGAAAGAGAAAAAAAAGATAAATGTTAAAGAGAAAAAATGAAAAAGAACAAACATCAGATGTATTGTAACTTTTTGCATTTAGTATATAATACATATATCTACCTTACTACCAATCCTTTTTATAGCATCTCTTTATTTAACGCAACATACCTTTGATTTTGGTACAAATTTTATTAGTTGGCTTCGCGCATAAAGTCAAATTTCCGGTAAATGCAATCAATTTTGCCGAAATTGCTACATTACGGAATCGTCATTTGATGGCGATCGCGAGAGTAAAATGTACAAGGATAATATATATGTATAGATACATTTATGCGAAATTTATATAATTATGTTTATATATAAATTAAATTTTATTACTATTAATATAGAAATAGATATAATGCAAGTAAGATCTTTTTAATTTTTCAAATTACTGCCGATTAACATAACTGATGATTATCCAGTTCTTTCAATCTTGATATCAAGACGTGAATTTCTAATTTCGATTAAAATATAATAATTTTTTAAGAATAGGCATGATTAAAACATTATTTAATACGATTCTGATTCGATTGTTAAGTTCACGTCAACTTTTATCAAAGTGTAGCGAAATTTCTGATTAGAAGTTTAAATAATTCTCAAAAATCGATATCGAGTCGGAAACCCGAGGAAAGTAGAGATTTCGTCGAGACAGTCGGTTATTCGCGGATTGTACGCATTGCGTAAGATGGACACGTAAGAGTGACAGTAGGACATACGCATACGCGCGTGCGGCGGAAAGATCAGACGGGGGTGTAGAAAAAAATAAAAAATGCACGCAAGAGATGAGATCATCTTTCCTCTCCGGCCGCGCGCTCCGGCGTGATGCTGCGATGTGACGCGCCTTGGACGCAGTCAGTAACGGTCCAGCGGCCGATTTGGAGGGTTGTTTCTCTTCTCAAACCTTCTTAAGAAAGGGACACCTCGAGTGAACGGAGGAAGCGGTTTGCGAGGAAAGCCAACGCGAGGTACGATCAATTGTGACTTTTCGTCTTGTCAAGATCTTATTATTTTATCGTGCGGTTCCTGTTTAAGATATTTTCGATCACTGTTGTTACTTGTGATAATTAATATGTATAGATAATTTATCATTTATATCCAAATGCTTGATTTTTTTTTTACTGTACGATATCTTGCGAATATTACCCCAGTTTTTACGTTTAAAGTATAATTAATTTCATATCTATAAAATAAATTCTGTATCTAAATTAATTAATCTGGACAATTTTTTGATGGCCGAATTTGCTGTTTTATTATATGCAGAGAAAACATACTCTTCTATTAAAACATAAAGAAATATAGAAATATTTCAAGTTAATTAGATCTTTATCTGAGGCACGCAATAGTAACATTTACAATTCTAAAAGTAGAAGTAATAAAATATATATGTCGTCAAACACTTATGATTGATATATATGTACGGACTCATATATTATGTATCCGACAAACAGCTACCTGGACGCGTCAGAATTACGAGAAATCACATACGGATGAAAATGAATAGATGGACAATAGATTGCTCCTGCGGCCAGAATTTAGATATATAAAAGAACCATCTTATATTATAAGGGACTCTTTTCAGGGATCATTTCAACATTTTTCATTTTTGACGAAGTTTCTTTAACTTTCTACAGAATTTCTGCTAAACTTTTTATCACGCGCGTCAATACATAAATAAATATATATATATATATATATATTTACATTCCAAATAAAAAATTGATTGAAACGAAAATAATATATTTGAAATTAAATTACTGCGCCAGCAAAAACGTCCCATTAATTTTTGTACGTGCTAGTTTGAATCACTTACAGAACTGCATACGATGGATGTTTTATATCAGTGGGCGTATCCACAACTAACTTATCTCCTGTCATATATTACTTGGAAATCGTGTCCTTTCTGGGACGGAAATCCAACATCCTTTGTTCGTTAAGGTACTGTCATTATGCGGAGACTTAGAAAAGAAAGATATTATCATTTTACAATCGTTAACGAAAAATCTCGCGTTTGCATTTATAGTTTATACGTTATACTTTACGTCTCTTACTAAATGCTATTGAATTATAAATGAGAAAAAAATTAATTTGTATACGAAAAATAGCGTAAAGCATGATATTTGCAATTTTCTATTAATATAGACAACTTAAAATAAAACAGTAATACTCTCTGTGATATTGTTATTTCGAACCAACTCAATCATTCGACCTTTTCTCATGTCACGGTATGCAAAAGTTCAAGACTAAGATCGATAAGAAACTGTTATGAACGTATTATTTTTGAAAATTTACTCCTTCGTAAAAAATACAGAGATATGTATGATTCCTTGGAAATAAGATTCAAAAATGAATAATGAGATTGAAAATCTTGACTCTATTATAAATGAAATAATTCTTAGACTCTGTAAAAACTTGATTAAACTACGTATCATCGCATTAAACAATTCTTGCAATAAATTTTTACAATTCTGTTTATATATATATATATATCCTATATTATTTCTTATATATTCATAATAATATTAATTCGCGTATAAACGTCCTCGATAAGCAAATTGAACGAGTAATTGGACGAATCGAATCAACGCATTCAGCTCGAATATCTCGTCAGCAAACTAGTTAACTTTTAATTCCGCGTTGGTGGAGCTAGCACTTGAACATGGGGAAGACGAGTTCCTGATGTTCCAAGTTTTATGGTATTCTATGTTTCGTGGGCGTAATGATCGATCTAAGCAGACAAAAAATTGAAAACAATTGTATTTCCAAAACTTTGTCTACATTATTTTACGTTATATTGATAGAACATGTATCAACATTTCTTTAAGCCTACATATTGCCTCCGATTAATAAAATCGCAATTCTTTTTATATTTTTCTTCTCTCATCAATATATATTTACTCTTTTTTCACACATGCATCAATTTTAATTCATAAAGTTTATTATAATTTCGCAATTATATATATACATATATTCACACGTATTAATTTGCTCTTTATTTCAACGCGCATTGAAATCAGTTGCATTTGTTTTATCATTACATCTATTGTATAACTTTAATTAAAATTATCAAAGTCTATATTTGTGCACATTGATCAATCAGCATATTATAGATTCCATGCGTACTACAATCATTCACTGTTGTTTTTATATATAAATTTAAATATGAAGTTAAATAATATTCGAAATATGTGGATTGTATATTCGTTAAAATAATATTCTCGTTTCTTTTGTCCGCTCACGCAAACGATTCGCCCACGTCGACAAGCGGCGCGATAAAAAAAGGGGGCCATGTGCCGCGCGTGCGATTCCTACGCACATTGCGCGTATGAGCGCTACGCGCTACGTTTTCCGGAGAACCGCGCGACGCACCGCGAACGCGCTGTAACGTCGAGATGATGTTGGCGGTCAGCATCCGGACTTCTCCGTATGGAGAAGACGAGACGAGACTAACCCGTTACGTAGACCCTCCTCATGTTCAGTCTATACGTAGTTACGTATTAATAGCCGCCAAAATAAAATATTACACAATTTTTCGCGGAAAGTTATGATTATTTTAATAAGATTAGCAGTCTTTCTGGATATATACATTACGACATCAATCAATTCAATGGCCAGTTCTCATCTATCATTTCTTCATAATTTGATGTATTAAAACCTGAATATAATATTCACTTTCTCAATTAAGGTTGATATATGAAGATGTTACTCGTGCATGTTGGATACAAATTTAGAAATAACTATAACGTCTACATGAAATATGAGCGGTTCTTTTCATTTTATATTAATTCTTTTTCTCAGTGAAATATTATTTTAGAGAATTAATTTTATGTAAATAATAATCATTATTTAATGAAAATGGATACATCACACGCACAAATACGGATTTCGAGTTTCCGCCAATTATTCCGTGGATTATGGTCTTCTCTTCCATAACATAACTATATTTATCATCAATGGTCTTTTCATGCTAGTGAGAAATAAAAAAAAAACGTAGTACACGTTGATTGTTCTTCGATTGCAGAATTCATGAACTAATACTGACTTAACAAACCGTGAATATCTCGAATGCAATTAGGCAATGCAATTAGGCGGAATTAAAGCTCGACGGTGAGCGTAATGTGTTTAACTCATGGATGACTCGAAAACACTCGTGTTTTATTAACCGAACACCGATACATGGTATCGTCACGGGATATTTACGTTCCGGGATGACATGTACACATCGTGCGTTTTCTGTAAATATTTCACACATGTGCGTTAGGTCTATTATCACTTTTTTTCTCTTTCTCTCTTTCTTTAATTCTTTAAAATATATATAATTACTGTTTATTAAAATGAAAGATTCATATGTGTGTGTTCTATATAAATAATATCTATCATATTTATTTTAATTTATAAATTCACAAGTATTGCATTTTATAATCAATAATCATGTAACGTTTGTATATTAAATGATATATTTGAATATTAAATATTTTTTTGTTAAATTAAATTTAAAGATTCTACGATCACATGATGTCTAAGGCGAATTCGATTGCGTTCAAATTTCATCGCTGACGAAGGCAGCAGCCGATCGCTGACGTTATGCTGCGTGCGCGTGTCCTTCATCGTTGTTAAAATGCAGCAATGAGGCGACGTCGTAAACCAATTATTATGTCATATGCATCCGCAAAAAGTGACAAGAATGAAGGAACGCCGCGGCAGCATATAACAAAGTCACGCGGATTAAAAGCGTACTCGAGACTCGTCCCAGTCCGGATGTATCTGTGAAACGATTCTTGGTTTTCAAATATATATCTAGGTTATCGCTTCGTTGCTCCTATTAAGGTCCCGCGAGATTTATCGTTGGTCTCGCGTTGACCCGTTGATCGGTGCGTGCGTGCGTGCGTGCGTGTTCGCGTTACGCAGTCGACTTAAGTAGATTTTTTTCCGAACAAATGTTTCGCGACTCTCGTCTTTCTGCCAACGTCAATTGAGAACGTCGCGGTAATAAAACATTAAACGCGAGAAATGAATGGTTGATTTATTTACACGTTCAGACTCGCGCTTGCACCCGATTTAGCTCAGGGATATTAACCCGTTTCGGCACTGAGGCTTGGATCTATTCCGAGAAAAATCTCAATTTTTTAACTTTACGGCCATTCTTTCACAGTGTTGAAATGTGCAGAATTCGAAAGCTGTTAGAAATTGTTTGATAAATTACTCTGCGTTAAATACAAGAGGAAGGACATTGATAATTCAAGCCAGGATCATATTTAAAACGTATAAAAAGTAACGAGAATAGTTTAAATCAAGCTGCCCGTTTTGAAATGATAGCTAATTCAATCTTGCATTCCAGATGCTATTAAACTTTGTTAAAATTGAAAAACCATTCTCTCTATTTTATATCCATTAATTTAAAGGAGATGCATTGTGTATATTCATCGATATCGATTTATCGTAGAAATCGCAATGCGGACGAAGCTGCAGCTATTGTTGGTCGCGTTGCTCCTGGCGGTCCTGATAGTGGACGTGTCCGCCCAACAGGTATTAATTACTATCGTTCAACGATACGCATTCTGAATTATCATAAAATCTTTTCAATTTTATCAGAAAGTCGCAAGAAGAAATTAAATTGAAAATTCTCGCTTTTCGAAATTTTTCTCAAGTAGTCCACGTGTTACATCTATAAATTATGTAAAATACAATACTGTAAGAAAGAGAGAATATCGATTATATGTAAAAATATTCAACTATCTCCTATTGTTTAAAATATAAAATATAAAAGAGAGAAATATTATTTATTAATCTAACTTGATCTGAATCGATTCTCAGCACAAACGGAAATATCGACGTCGTACGACCACAACAGAAGTACCTATGCAAGATGAGATCATGAACATGTTGGAGGCTGATGAAACAGCCGAGGAGGCGGAGGACGCTGAGGTCACTCTCGAAAATGGCAGAAACGAGGCTGGATCGAAGCAGCAGCTCCAGGCAGACCCGTGCCTGGACAAACACTGCGGCGCTGGTCGCGTTTGCAAGGTTCATTGAAAAGAAAATATTTTTTGTATATAAATCTAAAATAATTGCTATACATGGCAAATAATAAAGATTGATTCGCGATTATTGTAAACAAGTAGCTTAAAAATATTATTTAGAAAATTTATCCTAAATCAAATTTTTTAATTAAGATTCTTAAATCTTGAAGTTTTTATTTCTGTTTATCTATAGTCCTCCAGATTTTTTTTATCATTTCCAACATCTAATATTCAATAACATAATAAAATACCGAATATGAGGAATAAAAAAATGCATTTTAATATATTTTAGTACAATGTAAGAATTTATTCCTCTTTTTATGATAAGCGAGAATAAAAAGGAGAATGTGTGGAATTTCTTCGATTTCAGATTACGGAGGAGGGCACGGCCGAATGCATTTGCGTGGAGCTTTGCAACCAGGAGGTCGATCCGCGTCGCAAGGTCTGCACCAACTATAATGAGACCTTTGGTAGCGACTGTGAGGTCTATCAAGCGCGTTGCTTTTGCAATACCGGTGACGCCAGGTGTAGAGGCCCCGATTATCAACATATTCACATCGAGTACTATGGCGAGTGCCGACAGATGCCCGTGAGTATTATTCCGTTACAAATGTAACTCTTTTCATACAGTATACTACTAACAAGTAGGAAACTAAAACCTCTATTATTTTAGTCTTTTGGAAAAGTATTTAAACCGTTTTTTAAAAGTTATATTTTTCTAAAAACATAATTTTGTTAAACAAAAAAAGTCACATTTTTATGAATTTTTATTCTATAGAAAGATATCGTTTGCATCTCTCTATCACTTTGTTTTTATAAACAAACAATTGTTTTTTCTTGATTAAGAGAGAAAAAGCAAAATATATTTTTCAAATCCCGATGTTTATAAAGAGGACTTTGTTATTTTTTCCACCAAGCATTTGCTTCGATAGAAAATGGAACGCGTTCCATTTAATTTAATATGGTCTATTATTTTTATACAGCAAAATAATATTGCACTATGATCAAATAAACAATTTTTATTAACCGACGTATTCGTGTAGAGCCAAGATTAAAAAGTAATTTAGAGATCAAATTTTTATCCATTCTCTGGAAATTTTTTCAGAACGCTTTTCAATCATTTAAAAAATACTAAATTCATTTGTAGATGTGCAAGGAGGAGGACATGGCTGACTTTCCCAGACGAATGCGCGACTGGTTATTCAATATCATGCGCGATTTGGCAGATCGTCAAGAATTGCCATCGCATTATCTGAAGATGCAACGCGAGGCCGAAACCAATCATACGTTGCGTTGGGCGAACGCGGCTATTTGGAAATGGTGCGACTTGGACGGGCATCCGCACGACCGGGCAGTGTCAAGGCACGAGCTCTTCCCTATCAGGGCGCCCTTAATGGCCCTCGAACACTGTATCGCGCCCTTCCTCGACTCTTGTGACATCGACAATGATCATAAGATTACGCTGATCGAGTGGGGCAAATGTCTAGAGCTCGACGAGGTATCTATCTTTTTCTTCTGACTTTTTTCTCCAGACGAAAAAGAATATCTTATATTATACCAAGTAGGTATTACAAAATCAAAAACATTCCTTGTATGAACTCTTCACATTGGATATTGTGCGTGTGATATTTCTCTCTATTTTCTGAATTAAACGTTCTTTAATGCAATTCGAAATATCATATTAATAATCATATTAAATGATGATACAATATATTAATGGATATATTAATGATGAATAATAATGTTGTTAAAGAATATTGAGAAATCTGGTTGACGAGATTTTCTGACAACGCGTATACTTTAATTAATTCTAACAACATAATTATAATTTCAGGACGACATAGATGACAAGTGCGATGAATTAGCAGAGGCGAATCACGAGCATTAGAGACACATCGAATCCTCCTCGGAGAAGGATGAGAGAGGAGCGCGAGCGACAGAATAGATCGGGATATACGAACACAATAGCAGGACAGGCAAACGGTCAAGGAAGGGCGGGAGGGGCGCGAAGGGCGCAGGTGACGCGCAGAGAAGGGCAGGGCACGGCAGGGGAGAGAATGTGTAGATAAAAATGGCGGGAAAAATCGTCGCAAACGCGCGTGCGTAGACACGGTAGTACGCAGGCCCTGCACGCACCGACGAGTCGATACTGCGCGACGAGGCCATATCATTGCGATGCTGATATGCCGTGCCTTGGTCTCCTCGTTACGTGCCAAGCAACCGACAATCGAACTGCTTCAAATTAGCTCCTCAATAATACAGGCCTCGTCGTAGTCCTGCGCACGGCGACGCAATTCGCGATTACGGTCGATTACGCGGATAGGGAGAATTTAAATTTCAATATGCAATCGAACGTTGATGCATCTCGATACTTACAGTCGCATAATTCAATTAATTCGAATTCAAGTCAAAAGAACGATATGATTCGAGGCGTACATGCAAACAAATATTTGCTCTTTCGAGAAATACAGAAGAATGCAAAGGATTCGATTTTTAGAAACGATTCAGAGAATTTGAGTTCGGATAAAGAGAAGATATATCTCGATTATAAGCGTATAAATAGAACGTACAATAAGTAAATTGTACTAAACATAAATTTATCATTTTGTTATTTAAAAGAGAAAATCGAGAAATATCCATGTGATTATAAAGCTAAAAATAAATGTGTAAGTGAAGTATCGACTTTATTCGACAAACTCGTCGATGAAAAATATTTGAATAATGCGGATCTTTTACATATTTACTCGCCATTTTGTGATCACCCCGCCATATGTCGTTATAATCGTCCGTTTCGCCGTCCAACAATGATCCAGACTTGTGATCGTAGAAATTAATTCTCCTTTCGAGAAAGAATGCATACTTTTCTGAAATATATTATTAAGACACGTTATACACACACGTTCAATATAAAAATTCGCATTCGCGCTCCTTGTAGTATAATTTTCATGTTATCCCGTAGCAATATATTATTTTCTATATACGACTTTTTTGTATAAAATCACTGCCTTTTCCGATAATAAAGAGAAATAATACCGTTAGTCCATTTCGTTGCAAATATATTATTTTCCGTTCTCTTTGTCTTGCAACATTTTATTTTTCAAAATCGAGATATTTGATAATATATGAAAAAAAGATTTTTTTAATTAATATATATTATAATATATATATATATATATTAATATATATCTACCAATAAATGTTATTGCGCACAAGAATCAATAATATTTGACAAATACAATTTTGCAAACATATTTTATACTAGAAGATTTATTGAGTCAATATTATTCACATTGTCATATATATATTAACTCACCGCTTTGTTTGTAATATGTTTCATCAGATTGGAACACATATTTGTGTTTATAAGTGAAATTGTTTTCCATTTTATATCCAAATATTTTTTAGAAACAAATTTCATATATATTGCGAAAAGAGTAAGATATTTTGTCTATATATATACGATATTTATATATATATATACAAAGAAGATAAAATCGACAATTAGATTTAAGTACATTTCATCGCAACGTATGCTTTTAACACAATAACGTGCGTGACGTTTGTTTCAATATTTATAAACATTGATTGTCGAAGATGTCAACAATAAAACACGGCTCAATATTTACAGTTTCTTATAACAAGACATACCAAACGCATTATAAGTAAACATGCTCTATCGTGTTTTTGCCTCTGTTTACTTCATTTTTATTTATACGACCAGTCATAGCTCATTGTCGAAATGACGACGAGCACATGACAAGGCGACGAAGAATTATTCGCGCATAATTACGCGTGACGCGCACGAGTCTTGACCGAAAACGTTATCGCAATAAGTATAAGTATTAAAGAGAAATATTAGTATAAGAGAGAAGAACAGAAAATCGGATATGTTTTCCTTGTTTGATTCTCCTGCGCGAATCCATAATAATCGGGACAACGAAAGCATCCGCGACTTGTCCTTTTTTACTATAATGCCATCTTCTTACTTTCGATGAAAGCGTGCAAGTCCATCTACATAAGTGTATAGTCTATGGTTATAGCTAAACCGGTAACTCGTCGAGTGCATCGGCAGACGGCGCTCGATTCGCTCACCGCTTGGCTCCTATTGGCTAACGCGCGGTCACGTGATGCGACCGCGGGACGCGTCAGTAGCGCCAAGCGCATTTGGCGGGCTCGTCGCGTTTAGACGGCGTCGTTCGTGACTGCTCGCGAGTCTTTCGTGCTGTGTGCGTGTCGAATATCCACGTCGCGCAATGGTGAGTATCCGCGTGTTTTTGACGCGCTCGACGGCCATCCGCGACCGCTGTCGATATCCTCGCGCGCCGCCGAGTCTTCCCCGTCGACTGACGGAGTTTCGCAGCTGCATCTCGCAAATTAACCGTGATTTTTGTGTCCGAACAGGCTGGCGGTAAGGCGGGCAAGGACTCTGGCAAGGCAAAGGCAAAGGCGGTCTCGCGCTCGGCTAGGGCCGGCCTGCAGGTGAGTCGTGATTCGACAGCGTTGAGAACGTGTACGGGTTGGCAGAATCGATTTGAGTGAACACGCGTGTTCTCGGCTCGCGCGTCCCGACTGATTAACTTTTTCTCCTCTCTCTCTCTCTCTCTCTCTCCTGCGCTCTCCCGGCCTTGCAGGTTAAATCATCATGGTTGGCGCGAAAAACCCGGCCGACTCTCGAAGCCGTAACCGGCAAAGCGCTTTTCGGCGGCTCGCAGCTCGCCCGGATACGTCGTAAGTGCGCGCGACGGCGCCGCGTTTCTCGCTCTACACGCGTCACGCCGAACCTTCGAGAAGCGGGCGTGCGAGACGGTTTATTTTTCGAATATACGTTGCGTGCGGTTTGCGACGGTTTTGAAACGCGCGAGTACGGTCGGACCGGACCGGCTCTCCCCGTCCGATCAATTGCTCGTCCCCGGCATCTTTTTCACGCGGTTATTCGACCCAGCGGCGACCTCGACGACGCGCTGTAAATCGACAATCAATTTTTGCCGCTCGTCGCGATCGCGCCAGTTCGACTTTAGTACAGCCGAGCTCTCAAACGACGCGAGCGAGGCGTCGTTTCCGTTCGCCGTTTGTTATTTCCCGTCCCCACGGTTGTCATCGATACACTCGACGCCGACTTTTTTTTTTTTTTTTTTTTTTTTTCTACTTGTATCGTATTTACATTCATCGCGACGCGTGTGTCGCGCGATATCCGCGACCGCGAATATCTATATCGACCGTGCGTGCACCGACGTTTATCCGTCGACTTAACCCCGGTGCAGATTGCCCACAATTGTTTACGATTCCGCGGTCGGATCGAACCGGCGAGGCGCGACGATTGCAAATTCGAACGGCACGTCGGTCCATTCTCGTCAGTTTGTTCATTGCGTCTATCGCGCGTCGTTTCAATCGCGATTATCTCATCGATCGGCTCATCGTTTATCACGTTGGACGCGCGTAAATGGCGATTAAATCGCGATTTTCGAGATCATCGTTCTGCAGTGTGAAATTCCATCTCATCGTACGAAGAATGTTCCCTCCCCTCCCCACCCCTCTTCTCTTCCTTTCTGCCATTTAACGTGAAATAGAATTTTTACTAATAATTCAATCTATACGGCACAAAACTATCGAATCAAATCGAAGTTGTTACATAATACTGGACATGTTCAGAAACGGTCTCCATATCTAGTGAAAAAGATAATATTTTTTTCGAAAATTGATACAATTTTTCTTTACCACACATATTTAAACGAATGTAATTTTTTACTTAATTTATAATTATTGTAAATTATACTTGATAATTGATATTATTTTAACTTTTTCATCGAGTCGCGATAAAAGTTAAGAGCGAAAGTTTTAAGTGCTTTTCTAATAATTTTGGAATTTTACATTCTCTCTGTTTGATATAATTGTAGTTTAATGGAAACTAGAATACTTTAATTATTTAAACTTTTTCTTCGGTTGATAAAAGAAATGGAAAAAAATATACACATCTATGAATTAGTATTATCGCTATTTGTGAAGAAAGAATTTCAAGAGAACAATCAATTCGTATTTTTTTTTTTTTTTTTGACACGTTATCATATACTCTTTCTACACACTGTCGTGATTAAAATTCTTCATTGTAACACTAAAGCACAATCTATCCTTCAAATGGTAACGGATGTCCAATCTCGATGCCACATCGGTGAGCAAAATCCATATTCACTTTCCACATTTAACGTTAAACGCGGTCAAACATTCTTTCGTCTACCTACGAAGATCGTGCACAGCTACATTTAGCTGATTTAGCGCTAAATGCGGCATGTGAATATAGGGACTTGAAGTGGCGAGCACCTACGCTACGAGTCGATATTACTGCGCGATAATTTCGTCGCCAATAATATTTGGCAAATAAGATTATTTCGAGATACAGTTTGCACACCTCGAAAAGAGATGAGCATATCTGCAAGATGATCTGTTTCGATATATTTTGCTAATGATTGTCAGAAAAATTAATAATACTTTGATCGTACTTTGAAATATATGTATAGAGGACGTGCAGAAATTAATCACATTAAATGAGTTTCAATTGCGATAAAAACCATAAAGTATTTTTTTTCTAATTTTGTAGAATTTTAGATTTACATTCTCTTTGGTTTAATTGTAGTTTAGTGGAAATTAAATATTTCTGTTATGATTCATCGAGTGATTTTTTAATGAAAATACGGGTGCGTGTGTGTGTTTGTATGCTTCGAAGAAGATAAAGTTTTAACTACCTTGCGGACTATATCGCATCTTAATCTTATCTCAAAATTAAATGTACGATTACAATAATAACGAAAACGTATATATATATATTGCTCATATATGATCTGATAAGCGTAGACACGAATAAAAAACGCTAGAATTATATGTATAATAAATAGAATGTAAAATTTAAATTTATTTTGATCAACTTGAATTTTCTTGACTAGATATATATTTTATATATATGTTCTAGATTCTTATTCTCATCTCTCTCGCGGTTTCAGTCTTATTTTATAGAAGCGCGATATTTCGACATGTCGATCGTGTTCTCGGTATCAGCGGTGACAAAATTATTGTGCAACAATATCGACCGTGCTTGGGTAAGGGGAGGAGGGGGAAACCAGCCACTTGCGAGAGTGTCGTGCAATCGACATGCGAGAGAATCCACGAATGGAATTTTAGAGCAACCATCGGAGCGCCTTAGAGCGAGAGATTCTCTCAAACGCGTCTTTGGGCGTACGTCGGATGACGAAACTTCGTGCCAAAAGCTGGAGAGCGCGAGAGGAGGGAGAAAGGGGATAGAAGCGAAGGCGAGAGAGAGAGAGAAAGATGGAGATGAAGAGAAACAGCGAGCCAAATCGTAACCGCTCGATATTCGTAGCGTGAGAACGAGATGAGGTCCGATATTCGCGCGCGTTTTTTTCCACGAACAGCGAGAAAGGAGAAAATTTCCACTCGCCACAGAAATAACATAGACACAAAGCGACGCGAATTACCGAAATGACGAGGCGGAATGTGTGCGTTCGCGTTGTTACCGCGAGAACGGAACTGGATCGGCAATGATATGACAGTGACGACGACGACGACGACGACGACGACGTTCCCCGATGATGCTGGAAGACGATCGCGGACTCATCGTCTCGACGGCGGAATGAATACGGAAATCCGTGTCATCATTTATCGCTCGATATTTAGCCTCGGCCGAGAGCTGCTGACGCCGTAACCGACGACCGCGTGTCGTTTGAACGGGTAGTAGACGCGTGCGTAGATCTCGTACGAAAAACATTCGACTCGACGACGTCGTCGGTACAAGTTCCGGCAGAAGTTACTAGACGCGTCGTCAGTGGTGAATTAAGACACGCGAGGGCACCAGGCGCAAATAAAAATTCCAATACAAAATTTCAAAGTAATTAATCTACAAACTATTAGTGTCGTTATTGATATCAATACATAATATAGATAATCATAATTATTATCACTCATAAAATTGTCACACACTCTATATATACTTGTATAAAGTATAAAGTATTTTAATACAAAATTTTCCGATAATAAAAGTTGTCAACCGATAGTAAATTATTGATTTTGAGACTAACATATTTAAAAGACGATAGTAGCAAAAAAATTTCGATATAAATATTAAATATTTTAAATCTTATATAAAGATTTGGTTATTTTTTAATGTGATTTGCAATAACATAATTTTAAAAATAAAACATTTTGAGCCTTAAGAGATTTATATAAACGGCTTGTGTATTCGGGTAAAACTACCTCTGTAATTCAATGGTTGTGAATACATATTAGCTGAGAACGTTTGCGCTGAGAACTGCGTTCGGATATCAAACATTATTTACGTAGTTTATCCACGATCCGCTAGATATTTACAGGGTGTTTTTTAGCGTGCGACGAACGGCTGTTTGCTTTACCAAGAAACGCGTAAAATGATCTGCCTACTCTCTTCTAAACATATCTTTAAATATATTTAACGCATCACACGAATTGTTTCACAATTTTTGTGCATCGACAAAGATTTGTAAACTCAAATATGAATTTAATGAAATTTACATAAATTTTCTTTTGTTATTTTTATATCTAATAAGTTTTTGAATGCTTTCCATATATTAAGAAATGCCCTGTATACGCAGAACGACATTGTTTAATTTTTTCGGCTGAATAACATCGTTTAATTTTTTCCACGACTCTTTTATTAGATCTATTATTCATTGCGCCAATTTTTACATTACTGTTTGCTTTATTTATTCTATTGTTCTTCAACTTGTTTTGTCTTTTTGTAGGATAAGAACATGTTTTGTATGTATATGGTTATACATTTCTAACCATCCGTGTGTCTCCTCTATCTCTTATTCTTTTTTTTAATATTCCTACAAAATTCAGTGTTGTTCAACAACATTCTGAATAAATACGTATCTAAAAATATAAACGTTTCTTATATGTTTTGCCTTTTTATTTTATAATCTACCACACCGTCATTGATAATTACGTAAGCAATAACATTTTGTGATAGAATTCTGCAAATAGATTAAATGCAATGTAAAATGTTCAGTTTGGAGCCATACAAAAATATTATTCACACAATATCCAAGAAAGAGAAAACAAATATGGTATAATGTAATATGTTTATCAAATTATTAAATTTATAATTATAATTACGTAGTATGAATAGCTCCGTTTCGCGAGTTTTCAAACTTATAATTTAATCGCATGTGTGACCGAGCTTTTTGTATCACTACATGTATTACGTACATTTCTACGTGTCACAATGTGACGTCAATCTTTTTCGTCAATCTTCAAAACATTATATATATATATGTATATATGTATATGTGTGTGTGTATATATATATATATATATATATATATATATATATATATGTGTATCGGTTGTCCAATCACAAATATGTTTTTGTTTCATTTGACTCGTGTCTGGAATAAAAAAAGCGCAGCTAATTTAGTGGTTTATTGCAGTTCCCGGTAGGCAGAATTCACAGGCATTTGAAAAACAGAACCACGAGTCATGGTCGAGTAGGCGCTACTGCGGCAGTGTATAGTGCGGCCATTTTGGAATACCTCACGGCCGAGGTAAGTGAATATATATACGTGTGTGAGTGAAAGAGAAAGGGGAGGGGAAAGAGAAAATGCGAGAAAGATTGTAACTGATACTGGAACTGTGAAACTGAAGCTCTCCATTAGATCCCACGAGATTGAGCATATGTACATCAATGAAGTAACGTGACAATATAGTCAAAAGAAAAAGAAAAATATTTACACAAAATGACTTGAGTCGTTAAGCGAAGGGAAGCTCAAATATATGTAGGGAGCGAATAATAAATATTACAAATAATAACGATGAAATAGATGGAATCATATAAATTGTAAGGTAAGACTGAAGATTAAGAGAAACATTAATATACTCGACGTTAGAAAATTGTTTCGATTTTTATTTCTTGGTGTGCTTGCAAACACATTAATGCTATTAATATTTAATAATTAAATTATATATTTTCTTTTGCTACCGTTACATTTAATAATTTATTTGATATAAATGTAAGTTTTTTAAAGCTTACAATAACTATGTCTGTAATGTACTTAATTAAACGTAATTATTAAACGTAAATATATTTAATAATTAAATATTTAATAACGTTTACGTTAGCTCAAGCGCGAAAAGAGGAAGAAAGATTGAATAACGAATAAAGAGAGAAAATACAGATATGCGATAGGGAACAGATGTTATAAACGACAGCGTCACAGCAGAAATCTGAGGGCACTTTAGCCGCCAAAACAATATGGCCGACTTTCCCGCTTTATTTTTAAGCAGAATGCATTATGGTCAATTAAAAATATCAAGACGTTACATGCTTATTAAAATTAAAATTTCTATGTCAAAGGTTTATTTCATTTGGCGAACAATAATTTTGTATAATTTATTATTTTCTTTTGTTCTTTATGTAATTATAATTATTATCAATATATTGTTATATGCTTCATATTCATTGCATAAAAAATTTAATTAATTTCATTATTTATCTGTGCATCTCAGAGAATTTCTTCTTTAAAAAATGTTGCTATATAACAAAATAACGATACTCAATATTGTAAATATGCTTGTTGGCTATGATAATTATTTGAACAATTATTAAAGGAAATGAACATAATAATAAAAAAGAAAATATTAGATAGAATTATATTTATATACATATATATTGAATTTAAGATTGCTTGTAGAATAGTTTGCTTTTATTTTCAATTGATACAATTCTACTCTTTTGTTAAGTTTTGAAATTTTCAGAATTAAGAATCTTTCAAACTATAAAATTTGAATAATTTAATATATAGAATTTTTTGTGTTATTGTGTGAATACAAAGTATTGTAAAGAATAAGATATGAAGAAAGAGGAAAAAGATAGCATATATAAATATGCATATTAATCGATCAATCAACTTATAAAAATAACTTTAATTTGCATTTATTAATGACAAGAGTTTAAGGTAAGAAGAGTTATATAATTAAATCTTGGTAAATATACTGTATGATATTAGGCTACTAGTGAAAATAATATTATTTTTAAATGCCTTACATAAAAAATAGCAATTTGCATTTATTAGTGACAATGCAAGTTTAAAGCAAAAGAGAATAATGTTAAGTAATTGAATTTTGATAGATAAACGGTAATGTGTTAATGAAAATAATGTTATTTTTGAGTGTTATTATAGTCGTGCTTCAAATAAGTTTCTACTGTTCAATTTTGAAAATTAAGATACTTCATTAAATAATTATAATTGTTTTTTTTGTTCAGGTGTTGGAGTTGGCGGGAAACGCATCAAAGGATTTGAAAGTTAAACGTATTACACCTAGACATCTGCAACTTGCCATACGTGGTGATGAAGAATTAGATAGTCTTATTAAAGCTACTATTGCAGGAGGAGGTATATTTCTTTTAATATTATTGTTTTCATATAACATAACTTATATTAATTATTAATATAACTTAGGCTTGTTATTTCGGCTTTAAGCGAGATTTAAAACTTTTTGGCTTTAGGCTTCAGACTATAATTCCATCGTTGATTAACTTATAATCTAAAGCTGAAAGTTAAATAATATTGGTGCAATCGAGCCTTAATTATGATCAATATATATCACCTTAAAAATTATTATTAACTTTATTATTAATTGATGTAATAATATAGTGTAGCAGAGTGTAATATTTTCATATCAGTTTTTGTATACAATTCATTGTACAAAATTTTATTTTATTTACATTAGTGTAAAACGCAAGAAATTTATGTGTTGTGTGTTTTTATTTGATTATAGGTGTCATTCCACATATCCACAAATCGCTTATTGGCAAGAAGGGTTCGCAGAAGCCAGCATAATTTAGCGATAATTGATATTGAACATTTCATTATTCGTGGGCAAATGGGAGGAGGAAAGAGTTGATCCAGTGTTTGTTGACAAAGTGTACCTAGGTTACTAAATCGATGGCGAGACTGGCGTGATATATACATAGAGATATATATAGATATATAAATAAAACAGTATATTGATATATAATTTAATATAGATAAAAATGAGAGTAAAGAAAAAAGACAAATGTTCATCACACAATTAACAAATGGGCAAGACAGGGAGAATCGTAAACCGAGAGTAGGAAATTTTTAGTGTATTGCGAGCGATGCGTTGTAGCATGGCTTGTTCGAGGTAACGACAGTCTTTGGTACAGTTTGCAACTTACGAACACTGCGGATGCATCAGAAGGCGTGTGAAAACGTCTTCAAACTATGTTTAATTATTTACGATACACCGCGGACGAAGCTATCGGTTCTTGTATCGAATCACTATTGCTTAATTTTATTTCATTTAAATCATTTTTAAATTGCGTTATCCTACTGTCAAAGAAATGTCTTATTAATTTTTTCTTAAACAAAGTATCATTTTCGATAATTTTGTTTTCACAAAGATATTGATTGTAGCGTTACGTGTAACGTTACGTTCAATTTGGTTCATTGTTCAGCGTTTAAAAAGTTTTTATATACATTGAATTTATTGTATACGCCAACATGCGATATTCTAACATATGGATAAAGTAGTAAAGATTTCCTTATCGTCGGATTCGTCACAGCGGAAAAAAAAGAAATGCAAGGCGGACGTTTACACATGTGACTTCCGAGTTCACGACTCGAATGACTCCACATTTTGCCAAATGCGTATAGAAATATATGATAAAGTTTCCAGTCTTCGAACTGCTATTTAAATATTGTCTCAAAATCTTTGACCAATCTTCTTTCACCAGTACTCAAGTTTTTTTTGCGCGTTTTCCCTGTCGGATCACAACACAGTCATTATAGAAGTCAATTCCAGAATTTGGAAAGTTTATGTGATTCAACCTAATTTAACAAAACAAATATCAAAAATTGTATGGCTTAAATTTGCGAAATTAAACAAACCTTTAATCTCGGTAAAGAAATTAGACTGTAAATTGTTTAATTGTATTGCAAATTTTTTGCGATCTAAACAATAGCGAAGACTGACACTTCAATTCTTGTAAAATATAATCGGAGATATAGATATAGAAATACGATTCGAGATATCCGAAAGTTTATTAGCACATATAAGGACGTGTGTATTTTTATTTTTGCTTCAATCATTTTCTTTTGATGTTTGTCACTTCGTTATCTGTATGATTCAGACAATTTTGACTGTACCTTTACGGAATAACGCACCATATATTAAACACCAGCCATATGTAAAACGTTCATTTTTTCATAATAAAGATAAATTTTATTACTAAATATTCCTTCACATAAATCAAATTAATATAATTTTACATAAAATTTTGATTTAAGAAATTATAATTTAATTCGTAAAAAAGAAAGAGCAGAAAAGGATTTAATTCCACAAGAGCAATGCAATATAAATAAAATAAAGGAACAAAGACCAATAATGTTGCCATCAAAGTAAAAAATTGCATTTGTGTTTGTCTATATAGACTTTATAAATAAGCTCGGATTTTCTCCATTTGATAATATCTGATTGAGACGTAAATACGATCTTTTCATCGATACCTGATCGTCGTGCATGTGTATACGAGCGTGCGCGCCACCTGGTGAGCAATGCCTGAAGCCGTGGAGGTCCCCGCCGGCGGCTCTTTCGACGAGCTGCTCACTGGTGAGAGATGAAGGAGGAGGGAGGCAGAGAGCGCGCGCGCCGATTGCGAGCGCGAGCGAGATAGAGGGAGGGGAGAAGGCCCGAGCTCCCCGCTCGCGGCGGCGCAACGTTCAGAGTTGTGGTCGCCTTTCACGGGTACGGTCGAGTCGGTTGCCCAAGCGGGGCTGGAGTAACATAAACGTTCGCGATCGCGCTCTCGTCCGAGTCTGAGTTCCGGAAATTCTGCCGTCACCGCCCGGTGAGTTGTTCGATCTAAAGATCGATCGCGACACGCAGGCATACGTACAGTCACGCGTATCTCTCGCTCCGTTGCGAGACCGAGGAGCTGTGCGATCCGGGCTCGCGGTGGCAAATCACGTAAAACAGGAGCGAGAGTGTAATATCCCGGAGGACGCGAATCCCTTTCTCCGCATCTCGTGCGACGCGGAGAGATAGAGAAAGACAGACGCGCGTCTCATTCTTGCGCCAAGCAGTTTTTTTCTTTTTTAAATCGTATATCGTCTTGAAGATTGCCGCGTCTGTCTGGCTCACTTGCTGCTGTCGCACGACCGTTGCCGGTGTTTACGTGTCATTCGCATCCGCGTTCGCGCGTGATTCTTACCGGCGATCCTCGCTCGCGATCAGTGTTAATCACGCGCAGAAAGAATTCGCAGAATTCTCGAGTTGGGCGAAAAGAATTGCCGTCCGAGGAAAAAAACCTTTCTTTTTTTTTCTCTCGTATCGTATTACTCAACTTGGTTTCGAAGCATCCGTTGAAGTTGTCTCTATTTATCCGCGGCTAAAGTCATTCAAGTGAATCGCTCGGCATATCGAAAGTGTGTAATTTTTAAACAATAACATAATAGTTTGAGAACGCAGACGAAGAGGTATTTTTCATACAGATAAGTCCTTTTTTATATTTACATCGAGTGTGTTGACATTGATGTTTATGATCGATGTTTACGATTGACAAACAGTTACCAAAGTTGTACGGGAAAGTTAAAGAAGATGTAGTAATATCAAAATTACATATTATATATATATATTATTATTGAGAGATATATTTAATAATACGTAGACTTTAATATTATTATTATTATATATATTCTCAATATATATTTCTTTAATATTGTGAGAGTTGAACTTTATTTAGAGAATATTTATGGATAAAAGAAATATAAAAAAGAATAGCTCGGGATATTACGATAGGACATACGATATACATTGTGATAAGATCATTATTAATCTGATTTTACTAATCCGGAATATGAATTGTGTTATTAAAGTACTTTTATTATATTTAAAAATTTTCTTTTTCATTATATAAAATTTGCATATCGATTGATAAAATTTTTCTCGCAAACCAATATAATGCGTAATTATTGATAATATAATAAATTAATGGAAAAAAGAGATATGACATTTTTATTGAATTTTGCCAATGTGGGAAGCAAGTTACAAAATATAATAAATATTTACAAACATTTTATAAATTTTTAATGTCGGTGATAATATTCTTTTTGTCGTATATTTTGATGATATTTATCTTTCGATACTTGCATGAAAACTTTTACGGATGGATAATATTTTAATACTCGTTATTTTTTTCATTTATTTTTTAATAACGTTAGTGTTGTAATAGATTAATTTTTCTATATAGTCGATTGAATTCGATTTACATCTATAAACTAGAAAGATTATTTAGGATTAATGTGCATGTAATTATGGTTGCATTTGAGTAGATGGAAAGAATGTAATTACGATCGCCTCTGGTACTTAACAAATTGAGTGAATCAAAGTATACGAAATCTTCGACTCAATCTTTTAGAAACGTAATCGAAAGCAAGTAACTCAATCAAAGTGTAATTTCTTTAATTCTTTTTAATCCTTCGAGTACCGTCTTATCTTCATTTATTCACGATGCCTAACACACAATGAAATTGGATAGAGAATTGAGTGGATAAATCTATTTGTCTTTCAGTTAAAAATAAGATTAGAAATAAAATTGAAAATAAGATTATAATAGATTAATTCTTTTCTCTTTAAATATATATCATTAAATGTTATTATATATATTATATGAATAATAGAAAAATATCGATATATTTTATATATTAAAATACGTGAAAAATCGTACGGGAAAAACGCGGAGCGCCTCGTTGCGTTTAATCAGGCGAAGAAATTTGAACTTGCAATTTTCAAATTTCGCGCGGAATTTGCGCGGCTAAATTACGGTAACTCGAGCGAGGATTGCCAACGCGACGACGAAAATCGCGACGTCGAATTTTGCGTTTCGCGCGAACAATCGGCGAGAATGTTCGTGTCTTTCGTCTCCGTTTAAACGAAACTCGCGAAAGACAACATCTTCTGTTTTGAAGGCTAGTGCGCGTCGACCTCGCCATTCGGATTCCTGGCATGGAATGATCTGCTCGCCGTGACTCTTCCCGCGCAGAACGACCGGCCCAGGATTCTTCGAGGATGACGGGCAGACACGCGGAACGAGCCGTCGCCGTTCGGTGAGTCCCTTTTCCTTTTCATAAAATGACAGCATTTGTTGAGGCCTGCATGTACAGTGATGCGGTAAACGTGATCGCTTCAGGCTCAGACGTAAAATTTGTTCGTTTTAGCTGCACTTACTTTTACTTTTTGCATTTAAAATGGAAAAATCATATATATTTGAGGAAAGTTTTTGAGGGAAAAGGAAAAGAGAGAACAAAGCATAGAAAGAGCAATTGAAACGAACAAATCTATAGGCAGATGTAGGAGAAGACTACGAAGGCATGTACATAAAGGGAGAAATAGCTACATTATAGATTTTGAATTTGTTTTCAGGAGATTATATTTTAATAATTATTTGGTCTAAAGAAAAAAAATTAATATATTCACCAGTAATATCTTTAACCTAACGTCTAGTCTATGAAAAATCGCGCCTTTCGCCGCTTCTCCTTCTCTAGAAAAAGATATTTGGATTAATGTTTTAAGAATAGAGAATTATTTCAACCACGTATATATTTTGCGTTTATGCGAGTATTATTTTGGGATCCTCTAGATCTCACGCAGTTTCTGTATGAAGATTTTTTTAGCAAGAATTAATCCAAACGATTATATTCGATAATATATAACTTTAAAATCTATTTTAAATATTAAATCGTATTGTAAGGTAGACCATACGAATTATAGAGACTTTCTCTGTGAACCTTTCTATTTTACTTTTATTGTTAATAGCAGATTTCTTAAATTAAAGAATGAAAAAGATTTTAGTACGTAATAAATCAACAAATACATATATGTATATATATTTATTTATTTATTAAAACTGATGTTTCCTCGACGGAAATGCCATTTTCTATCACATCTAATACTCGATATTGAATATTTTTAGAATTAACTAAAATTTTGTCAGAGTAAAATCGATCTAAATAAAGATATTTATATATACATATATATATATGTATGAAAGCTTTAGTTTTAAATGGATTTTACTTTAACAGATTTTTATTTGATTATTAATTCTAAAGATATTCAATATCGAGTACTAATTGATAGAAAATTACATTTCCACTGAGAAAAAATCGATTTTAAACTTATCAGAGATTCTTCTAATAATAAATTGATTCGATACAGAAATGAGGATAGACGCGTATATTAAAAAAATCCACATTGATGCTTATTTTAGCTGTCCTGTTTCCAGGCATTGTAATATCTCGATTTGCTCGTGAACCGTGTTCTATATTTATATTCATTAACCTTTTTCATTGTACAGCCGCGCGTGCACCGTTTTCGACTTGTATTCTAGATATTAATATTTATTTATCATTTAAATTTATGAGACGGAAAAAACAGAAATATATTATAAAAATTATCGTACGTGTATACAAATATATTTTACCAATATAAAAATGATTGAGATAAAAAAGACATTTTTTATTCAAATATTTCTATCGTCAAAAAACAATGAATAATTGAAATCCGAATAACTTTTGATATTAACAATGACTGATGTTTAACAATAATATCTGCAATGTTATTATCGCGAATATAATATCTCCGATACTTTTTATCTTAGCTTTAACAATATCTCCGTTCATGCTTTTTCCACAAGTGGAATATGCTATAACGACATGTTATAATTATTTTATAATTCTTTTTATTGGTTTTTTTTTTTTTTTTTATCACTTAATTATTATTAATAACAAATTTGCCGTAAAGATTCTACTTTGATGTTACGCGCAGTCTTATTTTTTTTTTGCGGTGCAAATTCATTTAATATGCAATTGTGAGTTTCACGAAACACTAGCTTTTCAAAAGATGCGCACTTACCGCTCGACAAAATCTTGTTTATATGGGGTGTAATATCGTTAATGTAAAGTTTTGCCGGTCACGAACGCTTTACTCAATTCGGCTTGTTTTCGCGCTCATGCGGATGTAACACTTCGCTGGGAGCAATTATGAAACTCGCGGTCTAAGTTTGCCTCGCGAGCAGTCGTGATAATGAACCGAAATCGCCGTGTGGTCTCCTGGTGCAATATTGTGTATATGCTATCATTTGGAAAGAGCATCGTGCGCGTTAACCCTTGAAATAATAATGGTAT